GCCGCTATAGCGGTTAAGTGTTAATTTTCAAAGTGTAGTCTGTTCCTCTCGTTATCAGTGTATTTTGGAGTAAATAACTAAGAATTCTTATAGATTGAAAGACAGCAGCAAGTTCCCTCTTCTTTCATCATAATACATGTCACCTCAAATGCTTAGGTAATATAGAAAAACTGCTTAGAAAACCTAAACAACGGTTACGATCTACCGTAATCTAGTCGAAGCAGAAGAAGAAGCCAAGTGACTTTAAATCAACGTACGAAGCTAAGAATAACTACGGAACATCCCGTTTTCCTGTCATCTTGTTGTTTGTATATGTATCTTCCAAGCAGACCGTAGAATTTCGTGCAGAAAACCCTCCATCTGCCATGAAAAAACTGCAGCAGCAGCATTGCTGCTGGTTAGTTTATCTCAGCGGAAAACTTGCTTAGGATGTCCTTTTCGTGGTGTCCAAAAAAACAACTACGACATTCTGAGCTTAGAAGGGGAAAAAGTGAGACCCGGTAGAAGCTGCTACACATGTGCGCGGTTGATTGGCAACAAATTACAGTGAAACAGAAGGAGAGGAAAAAGACTGTCAACTTTTACATACATGGAGTTCCTACTTATGTTTGATGATAACAGCAGGATTTTTTCCTCGTAATTACGTGGGCATCCGTTAAATCATCGATTTTTGTTGGGTTTCGTTGCTACATTGTTCAGTGGAACTATTGGATACACTGTTACTTGGACATCTACTTCAAGCCTTCAATTATGAAAAAGCTATAGCTAGTCCCTGCTTTGAAAAAGCTTAGTTCAGAGTGATAATAAAATTTTTGTCACCTAGGTTGCAAATGATCTGCTGAAACGTCTTATGGTAGAACAATGATAATAAAGTCGTACTTCATATAGTTAAAGACAAGAGAAGATTCAATCGTCCACAAGAAATAATTCTTACTTGATATTACGGGGGATTTTTCACGGGAACTTCCTTTATTAGTCAGGTGATAGAATTTTCTAGCATCTATAGAATTATAATGAAAATGAATATGAGTAGTGTGAATTATGAAATTTTCTATCTGTTTTGTCGACGATTATTGGGCAAAATGAATAATGAAACTAAGAGTACGACAGTATTTTGCTTCAAGTGGGAAAATATGTCTAAATTGCTTTTATTAACCTCCTTGGAGAGAAGTACATGTAGAATATGTTGAGAAAGAATCACCAAAAAATTTTGCCAAAGTAATACTGATCTACGACATGTAGAAGGTATGAAGAAGAAGCTTAAGTG